ATTAACAGAGCAACGGTTTTAGGAGTGGCAGTTTTTTCCCCTTAAAAGGATTCCAGTTAGAAAAATACTTGCCGAACATTTCTCTCTGATGTTGGTTTGGTACATGGTTGTGTTCTGCACTTCAGAGAAGGGCTATTAGCACCATTCAAGCCATGTTGAAAGCAATAATAATAAATGATGACAACTGGGTAAAGTGTTTCAGAAACACTAATCACCTCTGATCTTCACCAGAACTCTGGAAGGTGGGTGGTAATTCCATTTTATTTTATTTTTTAAAGATTTTTTTTTAAGTAACCTCTACTCCCAGTGTGAGGCTCGAACCCACAGCCCCAAGACCAAGAGTCACACACTCTATCGACTGAGCCAGCCAGGTGCCCTGATAATTCCATTTTATAATTCCAGTTTATAGATGGGCAAAGTGAGGCTTAGAGAGTTTAGAAGATTTGCTCAAGACTATACAGACAGAAGCAGAGTCATTTTCTAAACCCAGATCTTCTGACCCCATGCCTCATAACCATGATCCTAGCGCTTGTTAACTAGTGAAACACTACAGTTACAACTCATTTCTCTACCAGTGAGATTATAACCATGAGATTGGGAGGGTAAGGGGCAAAGTCACTGACAAGTCCAGACAGGACAGGACTCATGCACACCAGGTCTGTCCCAGAGCACAGAGTGAGCAGCCGCAGTTCCTAGCCAGGCACCGAGATCAAGGAGCACATCCCAGACCTGGCTGTGAGTAAGGGAACAGAACACTGGCCCCCCTCTAGGGTGGGACAGTGGGATCAGTACTTTGACTTAGGTTTAAAATGGTGACGGGAATGCAAGCTGGTGCAGCCACTCTGGAAAACAGTATGGAGGTTTCTCAAAAAACTAAAAATAGAACTATCCTACGACCCAGCAATTGCACTACTAGGCATTTATCCATGGGGTACAGGTGTGCTGTTTCAAAGGGACACATGCACCCCCATGTTTATAGCAGCACTATCAACAATAGCCAAAGTATGAAAGGAGTCCAAATGTCCATCAATGGATGAATGGATAAAGAAGATGTGGTATATATATACAATGGAGTATTACCCAGCAATTCAAAAGAATGAAATCTTGCCATTTGCAACTACGTGGATGGAACTGGAGGGTATTATGCTAAGTGAAATTAGTCAGAGAAAGACAAAAATCATATGACTTCACTCATATGAGGACTTTAAGAGATAAAACAGATGAACATAAGGGAAGGGAATCAAAAATAATATAAAAACAGGGAGGGGGACAAAACATAAGAGACTCATAAATATGGAGAACAAACTGAGAGTTACTGGAGGGGTTGGGGGAGGGGGGATGGGCTAAATGGGTGAGGGGCACTAAGGAATCTACTCCCGAAATCACTGTTGCACTATATGTTAACTAATTTGGATGTAAATTAAAA